GCTGATAGAACAGCTTGTGTTGGCTAAAGGGGCATTTACTGCAACTGTTAATGGCATGTAATGTTCAAACCCAGGACAGAGAAAATATAAGAGATTGCATTAGCTCAAATTAGTTCCTAATAACTAAAAGGGAGCCTACTTTTCACATCTGTACATTTATTTCATTGATTCAATAAAAATGTCTCGCAGAAAGCACAACATACTGTAGATCTCAATAAAGAACGCGAGCACGTGGCCTGACCAGCTCTTCAACACATTTAAAGATGGGCTCTCGTTCTCCATTTCTACCACTGCGACAATCTGAGAAATGTCAATACACTGCGTGGCCAGAGATAATCAGATCTAAAAATAGCCCACACACTGAAAACCCTGGAACCAGCGCTGGCCAACAGCTCCCCTGGTCAACAGCTCGTCCTGCCAGAAGCACAGGGACAACTATCCATTTCACATCAGCCTTTTCCTTCTGTACAGAGGGGGCCGCTCGCTGTGCCACTGAGCGGTCATCGTGTCATCAAAGGCTGCCAATAAGACGGACATAGGATTACACAATAAAAAAAAGTTACATAAAGTGAAGTGAGAGACACATGCTGCTGAATAACTGCTGCTATTCCAACCACTGAGGGGGCACTCGCCCACCTGTACACCCACCACAACTTTCTCTCACACTGGCTACATTTGTGAAGTACACTCTGCCGCTCTCTCGGCGAAGTTCCTCTTATTCCGTCACTGCGGCTGGTGTGAACGCCACGCACACAAGTTACGTGTGTGGCTGGCATACTTTGCTGCCCACACAACCACAAATTAAATCTATGATATCTGGATTCTTTAGACAACCGTCTGGGCTGAATTAATAAATTGTCATCAGCAGTGTGCAGAGTCAACATGAGTGTCCCTATGTCACTAGTGATAGGACTAAGTCTGTAAGCTCTGATCACATGTTCAGGCTGAAAAACAGCCTGGTCATGGTGTGTGAGGTGGTTTTCGTTTATACAACAGTCCGGGTCAAAATTACATGACTAAACATGGGTTTGTGCTCATTGTGGAAATGGCTGGCTACACAGTGTGCCTGTATGAATGGGAGGTATGACAACATACACTGGTAGATGGTAGAAATGTGCTCATCGTCAAGAGTTTTTGCTAAACTGTTTGTACCAAGGCAGCTCTCTATCTAATATCTATGAGCACACTACTGCAAGATATGTTGCACGTCAATGAGCAGGACTGCTTTGTGAAAATACTGGACTGTTGGATCCAGGTATTTAATTTACTGGATTAAAGCTGCAGTAGGTCATTTTTATCAAAATAACATTACCGGAGTAGTACATGAGACAGATCATCTGTGAAAAGATCCGCTTCCTCTGGCTCCTTCTTGTGCTCCTAATGGGATTTATAAGATTCCACCAGGCCTGGATGAAAACAACCAATCAGAGCAGAGAAAGAGTTGTTGATTGATGAGTAGGAGCACCAGAACGAGCCAGAGGAACCTGATCTTTTCACAGATCATCTGTCTCATGATATAGTCAACATTTCAGCAAATATGACAGAAAATTATCTTATATAACAGACACAAAAACTCTTTTCCCCCATCAGACTGTACAACAGCTTCTCAGTAAAGGCAGGGAGGACCAGATTAGACAATAGACAATAAGACAATGGACAATGTCTACGCTGTATTTGCCACATCCTTTTGCACTGTCTTACTTCCACTTCCCACTGCGTGTTCACTGCTTCTGCAATGTGTTGACTGTAGCGCCTACCGGTTGCATTGCTATAGTATAGTTATATTACAGTACATACGATACCTCTTACTATCTGATCTTTTGGATTCGTGTTTCTTAAGGTCAGGGTTTTTAATTTGAGTTTAATGTATCTTTAATGTATGTTTGTATAAAGTATCATAATAATAATAATAAATATAAAATATAAAATTGTCCTTATTGCAGCTTTAAATAAATCAGACATTCCAGTTTACCCTTTGAATGGTAATCGAGTCACAGCCACAGAAAACTCAATGACAGCGTTGTTTAACACTGTCAATCAATTTATTTTCATATTAACTGAGAGATAATCAGTTGATGCACAAGTGGCAGCAAATAAATACAAACCACGTTTCATAATAAATTAGGGTTTGACACACAAAATGATCAGTGTCAGAGATCAGATCGTGTAAATTAGCCACACTGACAAGACTGTCTGCAGATCTGCCTCTATATTTTTGTTTATTGGTCGATTTATCTCAAAATATGAGACAATCAGCACCAACATGGCGGTTCAAAATGGCGGCCTGCACAGAAGAAGACCCACTCCCTCTGTAGACAAACACGGCTCCTTCTAAGGTAACAGAAGTACAACATTTCTTATTGTCAGGTGAGTATACACCAATGAAAACATACCTATGAATATTAGATCCTCCTAAAGTACAATAACTGGGCTTTTATCAGGCAACAAAGTTAATGCCAAACAGCACGAGGGCTATGTAAACAAGAAGTGATCAGCCATCTTAAATCCTAATCCTGAAGTAAGAACAATCTTCCACAGTTTGTCTAACTGCGGGATTGAACATGTCGGCAGGTTGGAGGCAGTCCGATCACACCGTGCTAAGTGTTGCTCAACGCATGCTGGCTAGTTACCCTGCTAGCTAGTGAACAGCAGAGGACAACTGCACTTTTAACACTTTCTGCTGCTACATGTCAGCTCCCGACCACGCACCATACTCACAAAGCAGGCACCGTCTCCAGACATCTGTCCACTCGACATAAGCGAGGCCAGTCTCTTGACGGTGCCATGTTGAACAGCTCGTACTTAGCTAAAGACTGTAGCATGTTAGCATTGACAGAGAGGAGGACACTGGCTGCGTCTCTTACCGTGACGACATGAACCTCCTCGGCTGAACAGCGCCGGGCAGCCCGCAGGCTCGACACTGTAACCGCGGTCTGTTCACCTCGAACCCGCCGCTACTGTCAACCACACTCAGTATTCTGTGTGTGTGCTTGTTGTATTTACTGACAGTGCTCAGCAGACCTCGGCGTAACGCACAGGCCGCCATCTTTCCAGCCCTGGCACGCTTACACACACATATAACAGCAGGGTAACTTACTGATGCTGCGTTCAGGAACGACCGAAGAGTCGTATTTACGAGAACTGAATGATTACCGAACGATGGATTAGCTTTTCTTTGTTCTTTTTTCTTTTAAATAGACGCGAATTCTCAGTCATAATGTCTGTAAATGCTAGTTGTGATTGCTTTTATTATTATCTTAAAGTGGGCAGTTTTTTTTTTAATAAAAAACGATCTTAATGTTGTGGAAAAGTCAGATGTGATTGATTATAATTTAGAGATAAGGATAACAACTTGATCCTAAAGGTTAAAATGATTCTATTACATTTACAATCGGAGATAATTTAGTATTGATGTGCCACGCCGACTTCAACAGCCTCCAAAACCTACTTTTGTAAAAATTTAGAATTTGATTCTCACCAGAAGGCTTTACTGACACAATCTGCGACACTCGGCTTTAGGAGCTTTTGAGGAGCCCGTGAAGGCACCAAAGAAGCTCACGTGTACTGTAGCGAGTAACATTTAAGTTGACTATAAAATTAAATATTTTTGTCAACTTATTATTAACATTAACCGTTTTTAAAGAGTATTAATGAGATTTGCCAATTTTCAAAAATTCTCAATTTAAAATAAATTCTCCCAAAGTTGGTCATGTGAGTGACACGTCATCGTGTCACAAGGCAAACAACATGGCTGCTTACTGGGGTGTACATATTTACCAATAGCGTTCACTAGCCGTCGAACGCCGAACTTCAATGTATAATAATACTAAAAATAGTTTGAAATAGTTTCTTGATAGCATATGTACACTGTTGCCTTTTGCTTGAGTGGAAACACGCTTTAAAAAGGTTTATCTGGGTGCGTCCCATAAAGTCAGACCTCCCTGTCAGTCAGTTGGATTGGCACCATGGCTTCAGCGTTTGTCGTCGGGGATAAATTCATAAATAAGGTGACTGAGTTATTAGAAAAGACAGACTCATCTCTGCCCCAACGATTGAGAGAAGAACTGGTGGAGGTTCTTGAGAAACCGGAACCAACAACCCTGTCCTTCAGTACAGCGAGAAGACTCAAGAAATACCTCCAGGACAAAGGTAATATCCTAATGTACTAATGAGACTGCTCCATAGAGTGTGTTTGGTAACGTGAGGAACACTCTCTACAAACAAGGGATTTGTGTCTTCTTATATTATAACAACATGTTTACTCAATAACTAATGTTCAATGTTTCTTAACATTTTATATTCATAGTCGAATTGGTGGAACATTTAGGAGGATCTATTGGCAGATATTGAATATAATAAACATAGGTATGTTATAATCACCTGAATATAGGAATCATTGTGATTTTGTTACATCTTTCTACAGTAGCCCAGAACGGACAATCCAAACACTGGCTGTAGATGGGGCCAGTGTTTCACTGCCACCATAGTTTCTCCTACACTTTACAGCCCGTTCTCATTCCCAGGTCATCAAATACAGGGAGCGAGCAGTATTCAGTTGGTTGCAATCTGCAACTTCACTCCAATAAATCTTATGCACTGGTCCTTTAAAGCTTACAGTATATCATATTATTTAATATTGATATCAATATTATACTGTGCGTTCTGATGTGATATTCTGCAATAAAACATTAATCATGCCAGTAAAGTCTAATGTTAATATATTATGTAAAACTTTCTTTTGGCTCCAGGACATCCTTTCTACCTGCATGAGTTGTTGGAGGATAGCTCGCTGCACCTGCCTGAGGTTGTGAAGCCTCCCAGAGTAAGTGAAACATGGACGTTTGTCATATTGTATTTGTATGACAAGAGACAAGCTGCCGACCTTCTTAAAATAACATTCACTTTCAACATTCAGCTTTGAGGTGAAAAAAAACTCCCCAGAGACTTGGAATATCCCCATATGACTTGAGTGCAGTATTATTATTCTTCTTTTCAAGGGAGGCACAAAGAGCTAAATATAAAACCAGTGTTGGTGTTAACTTCAGTTCCTGAAGGTTAAACATGTGCTGCAAAACAACTGACATTAAACTGACTCCTCCCCTCTTCCTTCAGAACCCTGAGCTAGTGGCACGTCTCGAGAAGATCAAAGCCAAACTAGCCAACGAGGAATACAACAGAATCACACGTAATGTCAACACTCAGGTACATTTTCATATATGTAGTATTAAAAACATCAAGGTCAAGATGTGATTTCACGCTATGGGACCGTATTATAGAAATATAAGATGTCATATATTAATCATGGTGTGAGACTTACTGCAGCATTTTTGGAGGTGAAGAAAACATTTTTTTTCTGGCAGACACTTGTACTTACTAAGCACAGTAAAGATGTGCACATATTTTACTATATAATAAATGTCTTTCTTTGTCTTCAGGAACTCAACCGCAATGGAACATTAGCAGATTTTGGACTGCAAGGTTGGTACTGTTTAATATCTTGTTACAACTTCAGAGATCATTTTATCATCACAATTCAAGCATTCGGCATTAAAAATAAACTCCTCCTAAACTTGTTTTCCCCTCTCTTTCTCCAGTGAGATCAGTCAAAGCAGTGGCGGTAACCATATTCAACTTCCTGGTCACAGTGATCGCTACTTTTGCCTGCTCGTATATGGGAAGTCAGTACCTGTTCACTGACACTGCAGCGGTAAGAGAACATATTCACGTAGATTAAAGCTGCCACGCCCAGCTACATGCGGTGAAACTACTCCTGCCTTTATTAAACATATTATATTCAGTTGTGGTGGAAACGGTGTTCATGGTGATACTGGAGGCTGTACTTTGTGACCTTCCTGTACATGGGGTTACACTGAACGCCGTCTCCTTCTTTAAGCTGTCTCCTGCTAGAGGTTACCTAACTTTGCGTCTGTCTCTTGTTTTCCAGCGGGTAATATCAGCTGTGATCGCTGCGTCTGTAGTCGGGCTCGCTGAGCTGTATGTGCTGGTCCGGACCATGGAGGGAGAACTAGGGGAACCGTAGGAGCAAACCCAGTGAAATGTAGCAGCCCTACAAGCAGAACTGTCGACATCTCACTTTGTCATGACACCTCTTTTTATTCAACGAGAAAATTGGTATCATTTTTGAGTAAGTTACTGAGAATTTACAAATCAATGACTCTAATGGCACTAAATGGAAAGTTGGAACCTTACAAGAAAAAAAAACTTGGTCCAAAATGACTGAATGTCTGTTCTTTGACTTTGTGAAAGATTACTGTTTTATCTGTTCTCTCTTTATATTTTAAATCAAAGTATGAGCAATGTCTCTTATTTATTTGCAGCTATTATGTATTTCATGTTGTTTTTTTTGTTTTGTTTTAAACAACCTCTTGTCTTTCTCCTTGGCACTGCCCTATAAAATAAATGTTCATTTAATTCCTTCCATTCTGCTCTCAGATGTAATCATATTTTTGTGGGGGTTTTTGTGTAAAATCATCAGCACTAACTAAAGCTAATTCATAAAATACATTTTCCTCATCTTATTTATTCAGGAGAGACACTGACTCTTGCTCTTGGAATGTGATCTTTTTTAAATATTAATTTACAGCAAATAACTGTTTGTAGCTTGTGAGCTACAGTACTTAAGATGGCCCATAAACATAAATGTGGTGTTATTCTATATTTCACACACTTCCCTACTCTGTTTATGCCTCTACAGCTGTTTTAGGAAATTACGTTTACTATAGTTTTTAACTCAAACAGGAGCAAAGAGTGCATCTAATCCAGTTGCAGGAGAGAACCCTTGAGAACTAATGTTACTTTACTGAGCACCAGCTGGAAAAAAAATGATACCAAAGATAATTTAGTTTAGCTTATTCTGTTGTTAAAATGGCATTACATTTGAGAGCGAATTGTGAATTGTTTACTCAAAACTCAAAGTTTAGGACTTTAGACTTGAGTGCAGAGACTTGTGACTTGCCCCACCTCTGAAATTAGGTGATCAGTAGGCCAAACGTCAACTCAGGGTTGTATAATGAAGTTCAGGTTGAACTGTTTTACATGATAAAGTGTTGATTAGCATGTTAGCATTGCCATTGTGAGCATGTTAGCATGCTGACATTAGCATTTAATTCAAAGCATTTCTGTGCCTGAGAACAGCCTCACAGAGCAGCTAGCGTAGCTGTAGTCTTATTGGACAACAATGGAGATCTATGGTACAGAGGAGTAAGATATATCAGGCTTTGGATACGCACGCAATATGTATTAGTAGAATCTTTTCTTTGTTGACTAAGAAAAATACAGAATGACCACCTATGATTTTGAACAGTTGTGTTTTTCATCAATACTGTAGTGATAGCTAGTAACTTTATACCTCTTTAAAACGGGGCATAAACGTTTATTCTAGACCCTTAGGTAGAGTAGTTTGACAAAAGGTAGATGAAGACCATGAAATAAGGTAGAAAGCCCAGGAAAAAGCTAGTAAGTGGAGCTTGACTTAAGCTATTTTGTCAAGTTGTTTATTTAGCTCTGCAGTTAAAGTTGTTTTGACTCTCGTAAATAACCCGCCAGCTGTGGCATCAGTTACTAACAGTGTTCACTGATCTGTTCTTCAGTTATTTTATCATCCATCTCCCCCTGACAGATGTGCCAATAACTTCTGATCTGTGTTTACTGCATCTGATCTGGAGTGAATTATAGAGCCAAGCACCACATGAAAAACAAGCGATTATGGGACCCCAGAGGTACAGTAGCTGTGATATGATCCTCAGAACAATAACACCATGTATCTGATTTCAAAACAGTTCCAGTACGACACAGGCGATCTGTTTGCTCTGATCCTTTCTCCAGTTATGAATTCATATTTTTTTGTAAACTATCCTATCCTCTTCTTATTAAGTCCTTTCATATCAGTGGAAAGATTAAAAGATGTAACTACATCTGGAATACAAAAAAAAAAGTATCTTTCTAAGATCTGAGATTTGACACCCGGATTAAAGGTTTATTGAAAGATTATTTGGTATTAAAGATGATTATGATATGCAGAGATCTCTGTCCAGCACTGGACGAACAATGTGCACTACTGTCTGTCATATTTGCCTCTGTATTATACCTCTCATGTAATATTTCGAAACTTAAATCCAGGCAGAATTACAGAGCCTGTAAGCTGATAGACCCTGAGCTCTGGCTTTAATTTAGTTCTTATTTTTCATTTTTCTTCCTTCCCTCTGTCCATCTAACCCTCCTGATACTTACAGCCCAGAGAGATATGAAAAAATAAAATAATTATTGCTGTCATGGTATCTTACCACAAAGAATCATTTTAATCAGAATGTTTTAAAAGATAATACTCGCGGGGTCGCAGCATTAAACATGCCACAGTTCAGCTTAGAGCAGGAAAACAGGAGCTGGCATCTGTGAGGAGAATCCATGACAAGTACATCAGTGAGACCACCAAAGAAATGTTTATGAGCTGCTATGGATTCTCCAATTAGTCCTTTATTTATGTGGAAAACACCAAAATGACACTAGAAACACACTGGAACAAGTCCTAAGCTTATATATCTTTCATTTAACACCGTTGAAAGGTGCTTTGGCTCAGTTTCAGTTTTCTAATGTCTGAACACAAAATGCTGTTCTTCATTTGGCCTCTGAATCTCACACAGTACACAAATCAAATTAGGCAATACATCACACAGTACGTATATTAGGCCATTTCAACACTGACACATAAATGTCCATATGTTCTCCTCAAAACACCACCAGCTGTGCTCATTTTCTCAAGTTTATACAAATAACAATGACATAGAAAATGTGCAATTCCAGCAGAAGTCAGTCAGTGTTTGAAGTAATATAGAGTAAGATTGACGTTTGAAAGCTTTCATAGTGTTTATTGGATATGTTGTATTCCTGTAAATATACAGTTGATAGTGTAGTCTAAAGTCTGATTTGAAACTACAGTAAATCTTACATACAGGATAAAATGGTTCTTTCTGTTCTGCATCGACCACCAACCTTAGATATTTACATAAGACTGATCATATAAAATACAGTCAGCTAAAGTAATGCTGGAAATGATTAAATGGCCATTTACACCACCAACATAATACATTTAATAATACATACCATAATACATTACAACATTTGACAGTAATAAAAAGGAAAGAAATTGCATTTCATTTTCCTTGTTTTGTCTTTCAACCACTGCTATACATTTGACCTTTAGCGTACTGATGACTTAATTTCCGGGGTGGGACCAACCAGGTCAATCAGGTTTTTGCAAGTCACAAGCTTCTGCAAGTCTAAAGCCCTAAACTTTGAGTTTTGAGTCCTAAACAATTCACAATTCACTCTTAAATGTAATGCCATTTTAACAACAGAATGAGCAAAAACAAAAGTATCTTTGGTATAATTTTTTCCAGCTGGTGCTCAGTAAAGTAACGTTAGTTCTTCATGGTTGTCTCCTGCAACTGGATTGGATGCTGTCGGATTAGTTCAACCAAAGTGGATCTGTGGAATTAAGTGTCGACTCGCTGGGAATTGATTTGTGACACATACTTTTTTGTGCTTTTGGGTCTTTGGACTTGGGGAAAATATTTTCAAGTCAAAAGTCTCAAGTCCAAGTGAAGTCGCAAGTCATTGATGTTAAAGCCCAATTTGAGTCAATCAAATTTGAGCCTCAAGTCCAACTTTAGTCCTAGTCGTGACTCGAGTCCACACCTCTGATACTCTATGTTGGGCACTGAAACTTGTGCTAACATAGCTGAGGTGTCTGTATTCTGAGGGATGGGCATGTGATTTGCATTGAATGTTTTGCAAATTGAAACTCTGTGAAAACTGAGCCAAAGCAACTGTAAATTATTGCAATTTCAACTTCAACTGGGATGAAATCGGGTCCTAACATATTTAAAACATGACTGGAACATACTAAAAACACAAGACAAGGACAAACCAACCACAACTTGAAACAACTCTATAGAGGTTTGAGGACCGATCGGCAGTAGTAACACACAGAACAGTGTGAACTCAAGAGGTGTTGTAAAGGGAAATACTGACATACTGACAGGAATAGAAGCCCCAGGATTCATATATTCCACTGATCGTGTTCCACATCCAGATTTATCAGAACTCCAGAAAGTTGGTGACAATAGCAGCGTTGTAGATCAGGTCTGAGATGTAGCCCATGGAGGTCTGTGGTCCCATTTGAGGGTGGTGGTGATGGTGTGGGTGGTGGTGATGGTGGTGGTGTCCTTGGCCCTGAGTTACCTCCCAGTACACCGGCTGAGGATGGGAAGGGACTACCTGGTCTACAGAGGTGTGACCTCCTGCAGCGCTGCCTCCGTACACGGCCTGATGAGCCCCGGGTGGAGCCACGGTCTGGGGTTTGAAGTTCCTGAAGGCCTGGTAGGAGCGGGCGGAGGCTGGGTGGTGAGGCTGCCTGCTGACAGGCTGAGGGAAAGAACCGGGGAGGAACCCCGGGAGTGCTGGTCCCAGGTGCTGCCTCTGGTGGTGCTGCTCCTCCTCCCAGAGACGAGACTCTGGAGGTTTAGAGGAGCCCAGCGCGGGCTGCTGGTGGCTTGACGAGGAAGATGGTGGCGATGATACGGGGTTGCTGTAGATTTGGATCCAGTCAGAATACATTTGCGGGACGTCTTCACAGGAGTGGTTCTGCTCCGGCCTGAATATGTCTGCCAGGGTGGTTGAGGCGAGGAAAGCAGAGGTCACAGGCCCAGTGGAGGGATCAACAACCCCTCTACCTCCCAGGACTGACTTGGTGGACTTGGGGAGTCTCCCAGTCTTAATACTTCTGGCTCTTCTGTTTTGAAACCACACCTGTGGAAAATGATAGGACTTGTAAAGTAATCACACTTTTGGTGGACCTAAATTTGACTCGTTATCATAATTCTGTTTTTGCTATTAACAAGTCATTTCACGCAATTTAGTCTGGCTTAAATTGCGCAGAGATGATATGTCATACTCCTTTTTTATGTAAACCGGAACTGTGGAATCTGTATTTGTATTTGCCACAGTGGATACTATCTAACAGTTGGGGGTCTAACCACAAAAATCGATACAGACAATATCACAAAATAAGATATCGCAATACAATATTTTACAACACTGTCATCAGATATTCTCTAAATGCAGGTCAGTGGGTTTTTAAGTTGAAGGGAGACCCCAGAGCACCACACTCACCTGTATCTTGCTCTCGGGCAGGTGTGTGTGCGCGGCCAGCCTCTCCCTCAGGGTGATGTCCGGGTAGGGAGTCACAGCGAAGGCCTGCTCCAGCTCTGACAGCTGGGCCCGGCTGAAGATGGTCCTCTTCCTCTTCCTCTGGCCCTCCATCAGCCCGGCGGCTCTGTCCGGCTCCGGGGAGGACAGCGCGCCCTCAGCCCGAGCATCTTCTAATCACAAAGGGAAGTGAAATAATGATTAAAAAAAACATGTAAATAAAATGAATACATTTTATTTTACAAATTTGGATTCATTTAATATATTTTCATGTAATACATTTTACTGTAGCCTCATATTTACTAGGTTTTGTTCCAGGTTTATTATTTGTTCATAACACAGGCACATTTGTTTCTAATTGTTTAAATGTTTTATTTAGATAATACAATTAAATAATAATAATGTAAAATAATTCTGTCGGGGATTGTCCTCTTTTTGCATTAAAAATGTCATATTGATCGAATTTACTTGCACAAAACGAACTCTTTTGATGCTACTTGGCTCGCCTGTCTAATTTACCTTTGGTGTGCTTTCTTAAGTTTGTTGAGTGAAATTGACTACAGGAGACAAACCAAAAGGACGGATGATTTAAAGATAGTGAACTCACCTTTACATTGATCCTGTTCTCCAAATAAAGCTTTAAAATCCACCATGTCTTTCTGCGGGTTCTGCTTGAGCAAAGAGAAGTCTGAGTCCATGAACAGAGCCATAACTCCACACAGACACACACACACAATGCACGCACACACACACACTGCCCGGCCTCCACTGCTGCTGACAGCTGAGGAGGAGCTTCTTATACCCAGATCAGATCACCCACCGCCCAGCACCCTGCAAATCCAGGTGCTATTCACCTCTGCCGCTAATCCCCACACTTGTTTTCATGCTGCAGTGCGTTGTGTGATCTTCAGCTGCTCTGCCTGTATTTGAAGAGTTTTGGGATTATATATAGCCTACATAACATATACATAGACAGTGAATTAACCGATTACTGTTATTGCTTTATTGTGTCCATATCGATGGTGCCGGATTGTTACTTGGGAAATACTTTGGAAATTATTTTATATTCATTATAACATCGACCAAACACAGAGGTTGTATTAGACTCCAATGGGACGCACGGGTCAATACAGAAGGACACATATAAATATATAATGATCCAATATTTGAAAAACATATTTGCAAATATTCTTTAAACTTAATTCTGCGAATTTCGCTCATCCCCTGGACAATAATTCATTTTATTAACGGTCATATTATGATCTTATAATTGTCTTAATAATATATTTAATACGTTATTGTCAATTATAGCTTGTAGTTATTGCTTTCATCTTTATTTATATTTTTCTCATTCTCTGTTTATTGTTATGCGCCAATATACCAAAGGCAAATTCCTATGTGTGTATGTGAAAACCTATTGGCGATAAACCAGACTGACTGTTCATCTAAACATTCCAAACAAGTTTCCAAGTAGGTCAGATTTAATTAGTTGTAACTTAATAATCCATTTTATTTGCGTAACAACTCAATGTTGTTAAATAAAGACACTTGATTCCTATAAAAACCTTTGCATGGTGGAGTGATCTGCTGTATTCCCCCTTTACTATCTGATGCATAAAACTAGTATATGTGACACCATTCCTCATTTGCTTGAATAAAAAGTTTAACACTGAGACCAAATTAGATGCATGCCTGCAGGTTATATTTGAAATAAATGGTTGAAGAAGACTTCATTAAAAGAAGTACAGGCAGGGATTATCCATGAGGAGTGTTAGATTGTAAATCAAAGTATAATAAAACTCTTTCTCTCTGTACCTGTTCATATTCTGTGTCTCACATGAGCCCTTTGTTTAAAGCCTGTTGTTCATGAGTGCTCAGAGATTATGTGTTTATATGATATATCTGTGCTGCAGCACACAGGGTCACTAAATCACTCAGAGTCCACTGCTATAGTGAACATAATAGAGTCTCTGATCTGCAGCAATCAGTGACTCCATGTGCAGCAACTGTTTTCTATCAGCTGTGAAGGGTTAAAGAAACACGGACAATGACATCATGGATTGGCTTGTGTTGCAGCACTTTAAAGAGTTAAGTTATTTTAGCTCAAAAACGTTGATGTCTTCTGATTCAAACTTGTGGGAATGGATACTGTAGGTTTGGGGTTCCCAAACCTTTCCATGCCAGGCCCCCCAGATAGCATTATCCCCCTTTCGCAAGATGTCTTTAAAACCTACTGACAGTACTGTGGAAAAATAAAATAAAAAAACAACCAAGGAACAAAACCAACAAAAACAACTTCTGAATGTATTTCCTTACTTGTATTAATGCAATAAAGCTTTGTGGCAGACGCAGACCGTTAGCAGGTCAACACTAACAGTTTATGTGATGAACAATGTTCTGACTGGGAGGTAATTCAGAGGATTAATAATTCCATTTTTTAATTTTATTTAAATCCATCCTACCTCAAATCTTCTGAGACCCCCGTGGCGCCTCCTGGAAGCCCCCACTTTGAAAAACACTGCTGTAGGTTACAGTAAAGTTACCTAATAAACCAGAAAATCCATAACAAGGATAGAGATTGAAGGAGATGTTTTATGTTCATGTTTCATTTTTTTCTTTTAAAAAAGAAAGGTTTGCTGCTAATGGAAAAACAGAAAATAAAACAAAAGCACATTATTCATTTCTAGATTCTTGATTTAGCTCACATGCACAGTACTTACACATATTTGTATAAGTTAGGCTGCTATAATTAACAGCAAAAAAGATTAGAAACTCTGTTACATTATTTTAAGCACTGTTGGATCAAAAAGTAATATCTGTAATCCAAAAGCAACAGATGAAACATGTGCAGTGGAGACAGAAAGCAATCGAGTTAACCTCCAAAATCATAATCTCTGCAAACAATTTTTTCCTGTAAAAGGAAAGAATTACTAACAGATGTAGTTTAACAGAGACTAATATTAGCCAAATATCAGTCCGCTGAATCAGCCCTTTTGGCCACAGTTGACATTATGTTGAAACTTTTCTTTCTTCCTTTCTTTCTTTTCTCATGTTCTTCTTTCTAAAAAAATAGTAATAGTCCCAGTGCACTGAAAAAAGAGAATTGTTAGACCAACTTAAATAAATTATTTAAATTGGTAACACACAAATGAATTAGGTCTTTTTAAATAAATTTCAGAGCAGTTGCGTTCATCTAACTTCTCATCTAAAAAAATATGTAGTGTGGTGGCATGTTCCCAGTGGAAGTAATTGTTTTAAATGTATTTTTGTTCTATCTTTACTTTTCCGTCACAATCCAAATGCCCAAAAATTTTTCTTTGATAAAGAACATAGTGCCCACATTTAGGTGTCAAACAGTACAATTTATTGATTTCATTTTTCGTATCTCAGCATCATCTCAACAGCACAATATCACAGCATGTGCGGACGTAAATATCAGTCAACAATCGGCTCCATTTCACAAATTTGAAAAAAAATGTTGTTAGATATTCTGCCCGACAGTGTGCTCTGCTTCCTCACAAACACTCGCCTACAGTTCAGTTATTCAGTGACATTTGTGAAGCATACATCTTCTACATCGGTGCAATATCAAAGGTTAATGTGGATACTCACTTTCAAACACACGTGATGATAATAACAATTTATACAACACAGCAATAGTTGCAATCAACTACACACACACATACACACACAGAAAAATACTGCTGACAGACCAACCCTGACATTTGTGTGTAGATTCATCTTCTTCATTACAGATAATATCGCAGTACACACACATACACACACAGTACCCTCCCCATGAGTCCACTGTGCATCTGTGAGCACTCTTCTTGCAACCTGTGGAGCAATGCTCACTAAACCACCACCAGGGGGCAGCGTAGTCTTTTCAAAGCGCTCCCCTGCCAGCTCTGGATCTCCCCTCGGCTCCAAGTTGGGTACAGAGAAAGAAGAAGAGGTTGAAGTAGGATGAGTCTTAAAGGAGGGCTGTGCATCAAATCGGACCCTCTGCTTTTGAGCTTCACTCAAACTTGCGCAGGTGGTTGTAGAGGGACTGGACGTAGGTGAAGACGCACATGGGGTCCGGTTTACGACCCATGATCATCATGTCCTCCACCTCGATCAGCCGGTCACAGCCTGCCTTCACTCTGGAGACACAGACAGAGAAACATGAGTCAGAGGGGAGGCTTCATGCCGAAAGTGTATATTTCAACTACAACTCAACCGAAGCAGCATCTAGCTTTTTGAAAAAAATCTGAATTTCATTGTTGTCAGTCTTTGCACTCAAGTCTGGAGTCAAGTCTGACAAGTCCCAGGTCCTAAACTTGAGTTTCGAGTCCCGAACAAGTCATAATTTCCTCTTCACCAAATGTAATGCCGACTGGCGCTATGTATTCTCTATTGATTATTGTAGTCAACTATTTGATTCAGCTCTGTTGATACGAGGGGTGAAACACAATGACTGAACTGTATCAAGGAAAAGCTTACAGTCAGTATCAACCAGATACATCAGTCTAACCTTTCTAAAGCCGCAATCTGCATCTAATATGTGTCTTGGATAGTTCTGATGAAAACACTGACGTTTCCTTTACATTCCAACAAACATGTTTTGAGGGGTTAAAGAACAACACCATGCATGTAATAATTCATATACATTTACTGCGCTATAAGTCTCTGCTGTGATCTCTTTAAGAGGTCAAATCTAAAGCTGCCATCATATATGAAGGATTGATTCTGTGACCAAGTGAATATTGTTTTTCAGCCAAATCACCTTATTTCTGCAGCAGCGTTATCAGCCAAAGAACAACACATTCTTAAATAGAGTGTCATTCTTTAAGCCCCCAACATACAGTAAGTCCATGCTCTGTATAGTGTCTGATCTATATCTAAAGTATGCAGTCTGTATGTACAATATCTGTGAAAACAATAAGCCATGCTGCGTGAAGCTGTGTAGTTGGGCAAAACTTTCACCAAACATATAAAAGAAAAAACCCTAGTGAAACAGACAGTATAGGCAGGAACATATAAAATGTGTGTGTTACGGTCTGGCATATAAAATAGGAACTTTGCAGAGGCCTATGAAACAAAAGCAACAAAGAAAACAAATGAAGAGACGTTCAGCCACAATAAAGTGCACAGACTTGCATTGTTGATGCAGTAAAGGCCAGTAAATACTTTAAGGCAAAACTCAGAAACCACAGCGGACTCTCCACCATCAAGTAAGTCTCTTTCTGCTGTTGCATAAAGAGACTTCAGTCACATGAACAGTTTGTATCATGGCTTTAAAGGAATAGTTCAACATTTTAGTTTATTCATTGGCTCGGGACTTCCATGCTGCATCTCTGGCTACAACGTGGGTGGCCAGACAGATTGGTAAGCACAGGCTTTAAGTATAGGACTCTGGCACAGGCACCATGGTACCAGACCTGGCAGAAGAATTATTAGGCGGGGGAGGGGCATTAGATTTTCGGAGACAGGCACACTAAATCAGTACTTTAAATTGTACCATCAAATAGGCCTAATACATGCTGTTGCCTGTAGCCAACAGCTTTACACATATATAGCTGTAATAAAAATAAAAAAACCTGTAACTATCGACATCCTCACCCAGAATCGGCCTTGCATAGATGGGCTGGTTCTGGCTAATTATATTATGGTGAGTTCTAAACTTTACTATGGCGCTAACTACTACTACTAATAACAACAAGTTATG